ATTGAGCGAAAGTGATCATTCTGAATCGGGACTGACGATTCGCATTTTCAAAACGATCAGCTGCACCCGCCGCGAGACGCCGTCGATGTCGAATGACGCGCGCGACGACGATTGATTCGCATAGACGCACATGCATTTCCATATATGTTCTGAGAAAAAGCTTAACATCGAGAAAAATATGGGGGTATATATTATCTCCTATGTGTCGTTCAGTCGAATTCGAAATAGATTATATTCATGTATCCGTTGCCACGTTACGCAGCTCGCGGTAGCACGCAAAGAGAACGCTCATTCTCTAAAAAGTCACTTTCCCATTCACGAATCTCTTAGCCGACTCGGCCCTTTTTAACACTCGCGATTTGTGAGACGGGGGCGGGGAAACGGCGGACGCGTTACCCTAGAAAGGCATATTTTTCGCCATATTTTTCACGCCCGTATTTTTCAATTTGGTTCCTTTGACTCTTTAACATCATGCATTTACCAATTTCATTTGCATTTTAATTAATTTGATCCTCTCAGCGCGTAGGATATTCACGCAGTCGCGCGTAACTCTGAAGCCTACTAAAGGAGTTATGAAATTTGTATACCATTTCACGCAACGGTAATCAAGATATGTTCCGGAAATTCGTTTACGTAAATCGTAAAATTATAAGACTTCGGCATTGAGGGATTGCGCTGGTATTAACAGTTATCGCTATAACGATTTGGAATCGGATAATTGACGGGAAATGAGTACGCTCCACTTTCATCTGTCAAATATATAGAAATGCATTAAATATGGAATTAATCAAATTCCATTATATGACGTATGCCACTCTAAGGCGCATTTTCTGATAAACTATTTACAATTTTGCTCTTCAATGCGACTTGAACACGCTGTACGAACACGCGACTGAGGACGAATAAAAACGACCGAGCCGGCGGATAAACTTTGCGTAATAGTAGTAATAGGCCATAATCCCTAGTCGTAAAGTATGAAAAGTATCAACAAATTTGAAAAATCTTCGTCCATCCCTTTAGGCAATTATCTTCTTTCGTTATGCGAGCGGGTCATCCGCGTTCGCTAAAAGGACTTGTCTCTTACATTGCCTAGGAATTTGACTTTACAACAACGCGATCGCGCCACGCTACACCCAATCCCCGGTTCCTTGACTAAAGGCGAAGAAATTGATATACAATTCAATTAATAATTGACAGATAACCAATTAATACGTATAGGATGGTCCTTACGGCAGAAAAGGCGTAAACTCCTAAGATTTCAAACGACATAAACTTTTCTAATTTTAACATCGCCACGGACCATCCAGTACATTGATTGTAGTTACTTCTCGCGTGTATACCTCTTTTAATCTACCTCTTTTTTCTCTGTTTTTTTTCCCCTTTGTTATAATAGAAATTGTATATAACTTCTGTATGTATAACTTCTCGTGCCGAATGCATTATTCGCGATTAAGTTACGTCGGGCAAATCCCCCTTCCGCTTCCCGTCGTCCTCTGCATTCGGCATTCGAGGGAGTACCACTTGCAAGCACGATACTTATGTTTGCATTATTCATCATTCCACGTGCACACGGTGCCCTCATACGCGCGCCCGAAAACTGAAGATCTCGAAATAGTTAACAGTAACATCGGCGTGAACATGTACAGAATGTACAGAATGATCGAATGATGCGCGAGAAGCGACAACCCCGGATGGATGATTCGCGAATCCCCATCAACTGATGATTGCCTGCATCGATGATTCAAACGAACGCGTCGACGAAACCGCAATTAACTGTCATTTACACGAAGAAGGAAAGTCCCGTCGCTACCGCACGCGACGGATTTTTTTTTAATTAAAAAAGTATCGCGCCCTTCTTTCGCGCTTACTCTTGATAAACCGCAAGTTCGTTTCGTTATCTTCATGCGAGGGAAGAAACAAAATTTAATTTAACGTGGCGGGGAAGGGTTATTTCAATTTCAATAATTTAGCTCGATGGAATGCGGGCGCTGCCGAAATTTCCTTCGCGTGGACGACAGTCGAGAAGGATGTTAGTTACGTTTCGGTGCGTTAATATTAAATTAAAGCCTTCGTTAAAGCCCTGTCGTGGCTCCGACGACGCGTTTTTCGCTTCGAGAAAAAAAGAGCCACGGTCACTGCCGGGAAACAAGCCGTATCTTTCGTCAAATCTGCGAAACGCTAAGACGCGGCTCGTGTCCCTTCGAATGAACGAGTCTCTGTCTCATCAGCGCGAGACTCATTCGTCACGAGGCGCCTCTCATAAAGTGAAGTATGTATGCACATAGTGGTTCACAGTTACAAAACTAACTAAATCTTACGAGATACGGTGAGCAATAATTCCAGATATGTACAGAAATGTTATGTTACAGACGTTACGATATAAAGATATCTCCTTGACGAGACGCGAATGTAAACGCGCATTCGCGATTTTCGGAATTTCAGCTCTTCAACGTGCGACGATCGATATCGTTTTTTTTTTTAATATTTTCCCCTCTACCCCCCTCCCCCTGTTCCCCCTGACGGTGATGTCGTCGAGGGTACACCCCGCGCGGATTAATCCTGATGACGCAGGACACGCGCTTACGGCCCAGTCTGTAGTGTGCAGCCTTCGATTTTTGAAATTGTCTTAATAATTGATAGGCTACCCTGTTTCGTTATCATTATGAATGGTATCCCCTATGCCCGCTCTATACACCACGACATACTTTTCAGGATACGTTTCGTTTTTTTTTTTTTTTTCGGTTCGCACTATAATAAATCGATCGCGTTGTCGATCGTTCTCGAGGAAAGGCGATTTAGTAAGATCTGAACGCATAATTTAATAAGCAGCGCTTTATAGATTTTTTTTTTAATAGAACGGCTTTAAATTTAGAAACTCCATTAACAAATAGATTTAACATTACAAATCTAATAATTAATTTTCGTGGATATTTCCAGTCTATTAATAATTCTCTCCTTTTAATTCGATTATATCGTCCATTTTGAGCAGCGAAATGACTGAAGAGGAATTAAATTGTAATATAATGTCCGTGGCGAGAGTTTACAAAAGATAAATCAGATCTCTTTCTCAAATCTTTCATACCGTCTCCCGATCCTCGATAACGAGCTACGGCGTGTCGAAGTGGAAAGGACATATTCTGAGAAAAGGATGACAACATAACGCGTTACGAGAGAATGAGATTGAGCGCGGATCTAGTCGCGCGCTTTCGTCATCTTCTTTTTTTGGAAAAATGCGCGCACGAAACCGCGACGAAGCCGCAGGGACGTCGCGCCGTTTCGTGTATTTTTCCCCCGGTTACGTTTTTTATACGTATATAATTATCTTTTATCAATAATTATTTACACGAAGCCGTCCCATCCCGCGCGAACGAGCTTATTTCAAATAGAATTCGCTTTCACGTAGTGCCATCAAACTATATATAGGCCCTATGCTCATATTGACAACAGGTGTATAATATATTTATATATGTATACCTAAATGATTTTTCGCTATCTATCTTACAAACGCGAACAGCCGCAAAAAACACGCGGCGCCGACTGCTCTCGCGTGCGGACTCCGTGTTATCACCGGATCCGTCGCACGTGGAACTTGAGGCCGGAGGAAACGCGAAGCCACGAACTTATCGCGACTTATCGTCGCCACGTAAGCCACGTGGCCGTCGCGGCGTCGTCGTCGTTAATCCTTAACGTGCGCCCCCCCCCCCCCCTTATCCGCGGATGCCGCACGAGCACATCTCTTATAAGCTAAAAATCTCTCGTTATTTTTTTCCCTACAAATACAAAAAGGCAGCGCGACACAGTGAACATCGAAGTGGCAGCCGAGGCGTTCTCATTACGGCGGGTTTGCGCCTGACATTTCGTTAAGATACTTGACATATGACACAAATTCCGAAACGTGTCGGATGTTGTATTGAAAAAAACTATTAATGTATATAGAAATAAATTTTGCAGTTTTGACAAGGAGAGACAAGTTCACGATCGAATGGCTAGACAAGCTATCCATTTTCATATTTATACTTTAGAAAATACAGTTGAAAATGTTGCTCTAAATGATAAAAAAAATTGCAGCTATTTTTCTGCTAATGAGGAAAGTGTCAGAATTGCCACGCTGTAAATGTCAGGCGTAAATCCAGCTTCAGCTTACGAATTACCGGGGAAACGGTTTCTATACGATAAAGCTCTCAGCCTCGAAAGAGATCCTCGATATTTCGCGAAAATGACCGTGTCATTACGCCGACGTGTTTCCCGGTATTCGGCCACCACCGCGACAGCAACAATTTGCGACGTGATTCGTTCGGACCTTCCGTCTCCCGTCGCTTTCCCGTTCGAGTGAGTCTTATTAAACGCTTATTATATAGAAGATCTAAAGTACGTCAATAGAAGATTGTCGATACCGAGTGGTCTGTTTTCGCCACCGATCGAAGAGAGTACCTTCGATCCACGAACCCAACCAACCACTCGTCCCCCCTTTCCCCCCCCCCCTTCCCTCCCTCGTACTCACGAGTGTCCTCCGAGCACACTACACGCGGCGCTCTCTTCTCCGTCCTAAATCTAATCTTATTGACCCAAAAGGAGAATACGTCCGTTCCCTTCGATATCGGCGTCTCTTTCGCACCGGCCGTCTCTTCAGCGGGCGTTATATTCACCACCGCGCAGCGAGATAGTTTGATTTCGAGTGCAGTCCTACGCAAGCGTATCATTGACACGAACGAGTCGCTCGTCGATGACATTTCTCTCTCGTCTCTTCCCTCCTTCGCGAGAGGGTTTTCGAAATTCATCTCGATTTTCCCCACGCTCCCTTTCAATCCCCTCTCGCGATATCGATGAACCTCATCGGCACAAAGCCGATCTTCTCCGCGTTAAACGACGGTAGAAGATGTTCTTCGAGCGTTGCCCGACGAAGGTCCAGGCAGATCCCACGCACCGAACGTTTCCCGCGCGTCCTTCCAGCCAACATTCTCGGGAATGTATTTCATCTCTTGGTAGGCGGTCGCGGTTATTCCGTCCCGAACGCGTCCAGGAGCCGGCTTCAGGATGTCAACTGTGCTCTGCGCCGTTCCCCCGTAATCTCTCCTCTTCGTCAGCAACCTCGTCGTAACGTCCGGCCGCGATTTCCTCAAAGTCAAATCCGATTCCCACGGGCTACTCGAGGACCTGGACCAAGTTCTAGATGCATCTATCGAATCGCATCCATCTCGATGATGAGGATGAGGATGATAATGATGATGATGCCAGATTCTCTCTTTGATTCGCTTACTGATCTCGTATTGGACGTCCGCGTGACGTTGTCGCACGAGCTCCTGATGATCTCTGCTGGCCCTTCGCAACTGCCGAAGCACCAGTTCGATATATTTGAGCGCCTCGCCGTTCTCGGCCATTCGTTGTGCTCGGTCCGTGATCCCGCCGTGACCCCTGCCATTCCTACCGCTGCCCTGTGACCTTCGTCCTACAAGTCGCTCGTATTCCGCTCTATAACGTTCCGTGTCGTGAGCGCGGCGGGCCTCGTAACGACATTGACTTTGTTCCGATTCGTCAACGACACCACGCGCGACGTCGCGCGCCGTTGATCTCAACGTCACCGGGCGTGGACCAAGCAGGTAGCGAGACATTTCGAGGGCACGGTCCAGTTCGAAGGTAGTTTCAGTTAGGCCCGAGTATCGACGGTTCTAATTCGGATAGATCCCCTGGCCTCATACGTGCGTAGCTAACGTGCCCACCGCGGATGTGCGCTTCACCGTTGCCATGGCCCCGTTTGGACCACCGGTGATATAATGCGCTGACAGTGGGGCCTGCAAACAAAAGTAATGCGGGTTCCTGAGTTACACGCTAAGCCATCTCCAGCCATCTAACTCCGTGCTATTAAATTCTCACTATTAAATTTATCACTTTATTTCTAACTGTGATATCTCTTATTTTTAATTTTATGAAACGTAGAAAGATATTCAATTTCTTTTAATATTTATTTTAATATCTCTTCTTTT